CCACGAGGTCTGAAGAATCTGCGGCCTGATCTTCCTTTGCCTTTTCCTTTTCTTCTTCCTTTTCCTTTGCCTTTTCTGGCTCTTCTTCCTTGGAATCTCCTCTGGAACCAAGAGAAATTCTGTTCATCATATACCCAAAAGACATCGTCCAGGGCATCAAGAAATCCTTCTGCTCCATCTTCTTCATCTTCGGCCCAATAGCCATATGTACCATCGAGTTCTCCTTCTTCAAGCACGAGGAATGTTCTTCTGCCTCCAGCACCTGTCGGCTGCATCAAAGGATTGTCTACTGAAGTCTTTGTCGTGCAGAACCTCTCAATGAAAACTGTCCTCAACTCTGTTGTGGTATATTGCTGCAGGACCCTACCACGATGAGTCATCAAAGAGGTCAAAGTGTTCCTCTGGTCCTGAGACAAATCTGCAAGTGACAGCATGAGTAAGGCAATGAGATTTTCTCCTAAAGGAAAGTCGTTCTGATGAAAGGTTCTCAAATTGCCATTGATAGTCTGCATGATTTCCTGAATTCTTTCTGCCGTTGGAGCTACTCCATTCATCACTGCATCAGCTTGCATCTGAGCTTGTACCTGAGGATGTGCTTGTGTGACTGGATCCAACATGTCCATCCAACTGCTCATAAGCCTTTGGAGTAAAATCTGAAATCTTGTCATCCACTTCATCATATCAGCTGATCCTCGATTGAAGCGCACGAATTGCATAAACCTATGCAGGAATACATTGGTTGATCCTTTCACAAAATATGGTCGTAGTACTCGCTTGAAATAATCTACTCCAGCTCCTGGTGGATCATTCGCCTTCAATGCATCTCTGTCTAGAACACGTTTGTATACGGCTGCTTCTCCTTCTAATCTGTTCCTCAATGCTGGTCCTCTCTTCTCATCCTCCAGCTCGGTGATATCGCACCAATCATCTATGGCATCCTCATAGGAAAACCATGAAGTCTTTCCATCATAAGATGGGGGCACTTTTGTAGTGACCTGTGTTGTCATTGCTATTGCTGCTGGTTCTCTTCTCACATGCCTATTCACATAGGCTGCTGGCTCATAAGCCACATCCGCATCAGGCTCTTCCCAGTCGTCTATCCAATCCATGGCCGTTTGCCTAAAAGCAAGTCTATGCCTAGGAAAGGAGCTCACCTGGGTCTTCCAGGATCACTGCTCCGCTACCACTGAAAGAGTGACTAGGGCGTACACGGTTGAGGTGCAGACCGCTAGTGTCTTTTACGCGCAGAGTCTTATCCTCTTGAGCCTTATGGCAGTCAAGCATGGACACACTAGATAGGCCACTGGAGTGGAACCTGTACAAGTAGGCTCTACATTTCAAGGGGGGGGGTTTATAAATCAAGGGACTACATTAACATCCCTTTTCAAATCCTTTCAACATGTATTGTGCCGCTATCTATTTGGGGACCACGACGTACCCAGCATGTGGGAACTTGAAGACACAGCTGCGCGCTCCCCTGCGATGACCCCAGCTCTATTTCTTGCGGGCATCTGGTAGAGCGTCACCACACCCCACACGAAGATCACCTGAGAAGAAGGAAGATCGGCCGAGGACGGACGAAGGCTTCTGTGGCAGGGGGCTCTGTGACGTCCGTCGAACCATGTGAACAAAGGGAGCCATCACCTCATCCACTCGATGTGCCAAGAAAGACTTGCCCTGGAAGATTTCTCAGGCAACGCGCATGCCGCCTTGCTGTCCATCACATTTTTGAATGTGGCGCGCCACTTGCAGGGAAGGTATTCATTTCCCTCTTGCACCGCCAGGCAGAGGGCCATTGAGCCCATAAAGGGCCAGGGTCAAGCGAATACGCCACACGGGGCGAGCGACGCGACTCCCGGCTGCCCCGCGCTGTGCAACTCCCGCGAGGCTCGTTTGCACATGGTTTCCGCGGCGTGGCACGGAGCAGGTCGTGGCGAGAGGCGCACCACGGCTCTTGTTCTGAAATGATCCAGTGAACTCTTGCATAGGAGTCGGTGCAACTTCCATGCACAAAGGCTGGCTTTCGTCTCTGTCATCCTCTTGTTGAATTCAATAGGGAGACCCGATTTCCGTTTGTCTGTAGCGATCGTCCAAAAATGACGTAGCACGAGCGATTCTTGTGAAGAAGCATAGTTATGGCATTGCAGTCGTGCTTTTTGGGGCTACCTCCACTGCCAGCCATATAGCAATAGCCTCTGGTTTGACTGCTGGTCACAGGATGTCACAGCAAGGCTGAAGGAAGAGGGCTGAAGGGAGGGGACAGTTGCTGCCACCCCAAAAATCATTTGAAATCCAATCTTTCTGACGTGCAAGAAGACAGCACCATACTACGGTTCCGCATGGTTCCGCCATATTCTGCACGACATGCTGTTGACAAAACCACAACCTATAGAACCCCCAAACTCATGCTTTGTAAAACACAAACCCCTCTCGGCTTCCATTTTCAAGTCCGATGTGCGTTTGAGGTCCTATCCCTCCATGTGCCTCCTTTGTCCCCCGAAAATAACTCACTTCGGAGGCTCAGTGAATGGCAAAACTCACTTGTGGACCTCGAAATAGTTGATGTAGACTCTTGAGGTACATAACCCCCCCTACTTGAATTGGACATCCTCTGAAGAGGCTTGGGGGGTTTATGGTCCTCAAGAGTCTAACTAACTTTCTTGGCAAAATAGTGTGTGGGTGACACCAAGTCACAGGGCACATTGCCCTGCAACCTACCGCAAGTGTCTAGGAGACTGTACAGATGTCACCAGGTCACCCGAACTCGCTTCCCGTCCATCGTCCGACTCGGCACGCTGGCACGAGCCGCGGAACTGCGGAACGACCACGGGAACGCGACACCAAGATGGGAGGTTTTGAACCAAAATGACCTTCATGGACGCAACCACCACGTTCGCTGAGCAAGTGCAGCGTGAGTTGACTGTGTGAAATTCCGGACCTCCCCATCACCCTGAGAAACACAGCTCCCCACCGACCTCGCCAACGGCGAGCGCACCGACCCTGCGGCCCTTCTGCCGGGCGGCCGCCCACCCGCCGAAGAGGCAGAACTTCCGCATGTAGACGCGAACGAAGCTCAGGCGCCGCCACCTGCAGCGACGCGCAGCGAGGCGCATCGACGCTCGACGCGGCGAGGGGGAAGCGCGAGGGAAGCGCCGAGGTTTCGCGCTGCCCTTCGCGCCCAGAGGGGTGTGGTGGGTGGTTGGTGTTGAATTTGATGGTTCAAGAGCGGTGTAGAGTTGTAGTGCTGTGGATATTCTCGGTGCATATCCACTACCTATAGGTCCCACCCCATATCCATTTAGCTAGGAGGGGTGATGCGAAATTCCATGGTTTCCCAATCGTCACAACATGTCACAACCACTCCGAAGTCCGACCGAGCAGAGGGCATCCGAAGTCCGAGAGGGCAGGTGTTGGAGGAGCCACGAGGGCTCAGGGGAACGAGGTTCTGCATCTGCTGAAGAACGAAGGGGGTCCACGAGGTATGTGTGATCAGCAAAAAGATAGTTAACCTACCTTCCATACCTTCCAATCCCATCCCAACGAAATTGGCAAATTACCAATCCGAACCAGCTTTGATTCAAACTCCCATCTTGTAATGTAGACTCTTCATTAACACACACCCCCATTGGAATTGAAACACCTCTTCAGGCTTGGGGGGGTTTACTGATCAAGAAAGCTTTCATTGGTCGCTTTCCCCCAAATCCTTTTTGGTCGACTGGGCGGCTTCCCACACTCCCAGTCGGTCGCAACCTCCGTCGGGCCTCGCGCCCGACCGGTCGGCTGGGCCTCTCATTCAGCACGTTCTCATTGGAGATGTCCTCCACATGGCCGGACCTCACGTGGCTGGACCGCTGTCTGCGTTGACAAACAGCGGCTACAGCGGCTGTCAACGCATGAAGTGTTGGGCTTCCCACGATAGATCTATAAACATCGTGACCCCTCCCGCTTGAAAACACTCTTAGACAAACAATGACATGTCCATGTCACTCAATCGGAGATGAACGGAACAAACCTACACTCTGACGAACACATCACATGGAAGTAGATGGCACCCCTATACGTTGGTTTTCGTGACCATTTGTCTTCCTAACTCGAGACCATGCCATCCACGTAACCATGTGATGTCTTCGTGAAAGGGTCAATCGCTACACACTCATCACACCGTCCTACCACCGCACTCATACCCGCGGGTGTCCCCCCCGGCCCCGCGAAGTACGGACGCCACGAGAGAAGGCGGCATCGCGAGTTACGAAGGGAGCAAGAAGCTACGAACGTAGCTAGTTACTACTCCCAGAAACTCCAAAAAAACATTCAGGGCACCCCACCCCCCGATCTCATGCTCTGAGAAGCAGCATCGACAACACGACGTGCACCTTTTCGTGACAACACATCATGATCGTGCCGCCCCCACTGGTCATCCGAAGTCTGATGCAAAAACATCGTCACTGTCATCATCTCTCATCATCGACAGCCTGTTGGTCGCAAATCAAGGTTGGAGGCCATCGCTCTCAGGTTGGAGGCCAATCGTCACTAGGTTGGAGGCTATCGCTAGTGGGTCGGAGGCCAATTGCTACTAGAATGGAGGCCAACGCCAGTAGGATGGAGGCCATTGGTACTAGAGTTGAGGCCATTGCTATTAGGTAGAGAATGCATTCAGTTCGGTTGAACATGCAGTTTCTTTCTTGCTTCGCGAACGAGACAGGTCCGCAACAACGAAATCCCAGAAGGCGCCCAAAAGCAAGCTTGCTCCGTCACGACGTCTTGCTCTGTCTTTTGCCAGCCAGAAGAAGATCAGTCACAAAGTCTTATACACCTTATCCCTGGAATTTGTGGGTTCCAGCACCAGGTGGCAAGATCAGCACCAGGGAACATCAAACCTGGTGGGAAGATACCAGGTTCCCCCCAGTCGAACCGCCTATCAGAGGCACGTAGCACGAACGGAAATCGGCATCCACAATGCCCGGCACCAGCATCAGCCCGCGGCACCAGCGTCGACGAAAAGAGGAGGGAGGCAGAGCACAATGACTGGTTTGCGCGCAAAGGCCGGCACCGCAGCTGTCCACTGAGAAACGTCTGATATAGTAAAGCAGCCCTTTCAGTTTGTGGACACAGCAACATCTCTGTGCAGCATGCTGCATGGAGTTTCTTCCTACAGCTCCCACAGCAAACATCAAGTTCTAAGTGAGCCATCTCTGCATTCACATGCAGAGTTGCGAAGTCTGCCCCTGCGCCACTACACCAAAGACTGAGAGTTCGGAAATCGCATGTGGCACGCACGTAACATCAACAAACACTGTATTCCACAGGTGCTGGGGTCGACTTAGAATCAACCTGCATTTTTTCATCAAATCTTGTCCGAACAAATCTGAAAACCACGGAGAAGAAAACATGGCACAAAAAAAACAAGTGAGAGATCACACAGAAGGAAAAACCAAAAGAACACCCCCAAGAAAAAAAACTACTCAGAAAAAAAACCCAGGAGAAAAAACGAAAAGAACACAGTGAGACATCACACCCAAGAACACCACTAAAAGGAACCAAACCACCGAGAACCAAACGCAGGAGACAACCAAAACGCGTTCCAAAACGAGATTTTCATCCAAAACGCGTTCCAAACCCCGAGCGGTGGACGCGCCCGGCTTCCGCGGTTTTCACGCGCCGAGCGGCTGAAAGGTGCTGACCACCTCGGGCGCCATCGACCACTCGTCGCTCCTGGGGAACACCACGGAGGGTCTCGGAGCGAGACGAAAGGTGGTGAGGTTGATGAGTGTGGCGATCAGTTCACACGTAGTGTGGCGGTCATTTGTCACTCGACGTAGGGCGGGTCTAAACGACGTTACGTTGGGGTCAACTAGACGTTTCCCTTTTTGAAAGCAATCACGCATCTGTCACGAAGAGCTCATCAATGGGGTCATGGGGTCTTCGTGGGAGCTGAACCCACCGTGGGTGTGACCCAGTTCGGGATGTTCGGTCCATGGCGCCTCCGCTTCGGATGGGACCTTTTGCTCTCCGCTTACCGGAGGCCTCTTGTCTGGTCAATGCATCCGCAACACACACCCTGCAGGATCTTGCCCTGCTGAACGGTTTTGTTTTTCTATACCCCATAAGCACAACGCAATATATACGTAACTTACGTCACCCCAAAACCGCCCAAGCAAAGGCAACTCTACGGTATGCCCAAGGCTCGTAAATGAGAACGCCGACATCGTTGAGTCTTGCCGTTGCAAGCCGCTCCTCCTCAGCTTAGGCGGAGGGAAGGGGCCGCCCACACGGGTTGGTCCGTGGCCTCAGAAGACAACACCTGTAGGAGTCCAGTTCGACGACTCTCATTTTTTCGACTTAAAGGAACCTCCTGGTCCAAGAAATGCGTCGAGTCAACCCTTTTGAGAAAGGAACTACTGGATGTCTAAGGCTTCAAATACATGGGTTCGAGTCTTGGTTCATTTCATCTTCGCTGTAAACGAAACAAGGTTCACAACTATCACATCAGGACAACGCGAACGATGGCCCTGGCGCGCGCACACACGAACGCAAGCTTTCCTTCTTTCGCTATGGACGAGGGCAATGGGTCCTGTCGTGGTCTGTCGTAAGAATCCTTGCGGCCTCCATGGCAGGGTTGAAAACGAAAATATCTGAAACCATCACCTAGGGTTTCCTGTTCACATGGAGAGTTTTCTTCTGATAGCACGGAAGGCAATCATCCAAATGCTTCCTTCGCTTCGCCTCTCACTGGTAGAGCATATGTTGAGACTATGCCCTGTAAACCCTAGAAGTCCAGATCGACTATATTGGGCAGATTCTGGCAGCTGATCGTAAAGGGATTTCCTACTTAGGCCCAATCTTTCGCAGATGTTGCCCTGGGCGACCAACTACCGGTTGGTATTCACTCGATGTCCCAACGAAACCCAACACAAATGCCAAAAACGGATCTGATTCAGCAGTAGAAGCTCTTGGTGCATACCTTCCACCCTCAACACAAGCAATCTTGGATCGTTTGATCTGCAAACTTCCACGTTTTGTAAATTTATGTGAAACAGTTCAAAGTGAAAACAATCATTGGTCGATTGGCCTCTTCATTGGAACATTGTGCAGGCCTCTACATGGCCCTTCTGTGCACTTTTCTCGGACCCTGGAAACACGGGTTTCTCCATGCGAAACCCGGTTGAACGTGGGTAAAGCCTTTTTGCCAAGAAGCTGGCGTGGGGAAAACACGATAGCCTAAACATCGCCACACTCCTGGAATCATCCATGGCTACGTGGATGGCATGGCCCCTTGAATGAGAATCTTTCCCCCCACAAATAGGTGGTTTTCACTGTGGTTTTCCACATGATGATTCCAGGGAGTATAAACCTTTAAAGGAACACCCAAGAACGATGTTCCGTTGATCGTCGGTACACCGTTGGAGCCGTGTCCAACGGGTGCCTCCGGGGTTGAACGAATCATCTATGCGAGTGACTGTCTCCACCGTGCGGCCCCCGCCCAAATCGGTCCCCCTTACTTTCCTGACTCCAAAAGAGGTCAACTTAACCTTTATCCACCAGGACCCTCCGTTTGGGGTGTCTATGTGTTAGCCCCAAACGGCCGTGATTCGGAGTGTCCATTAACCACCCCGAATGAAGGCCCTCGCAGCTAGTCTTTTGTTTAGTGTGAAAAAAACCAATCTACCCAATCAAAACGGCCATCTGCAGGTTATTCACTGACTGCCTGGGTCGGTTTCCGCCGACCCATCCGCCCGGTCGAGCCACTCTCTGAGGAGCTCTTCGGTGATGGAACCACCTGCGTCTCACCGTGCGTCGACGTCTGGCTGTCCTCACCGCGCCTAAACCGTGGCTGGATGTCTTTCTCCTACAGGTGGTGGATTCCCAATCATGACGGATGACATACAAATACATTGAACAAGCATGCTCCGACCCCCCAAAAATCCAACCTACATTTCCTGGGTAAGATTCGAAAAACTCTGTGAATCAAAAAACATATTTTACCTTACCCGATCTACCGTGCCTCTAGACTCCAGAGGTTGACTGACGGGTGTGCAGCATTGCAGTATGTTCCCCAAGATCTCCCAAACTCTTCCAACAAAAAACTCCGTCGTGTAGGCATCAGATCGCCCTGAGGGAGGGGCCCAGCACAAAGAAACATCATCTCAACTCCGGCAACATGCAAGGGATCAGAAGTAGACAGTAGAAACACCAGACCTGAGTAGAAACACTTCTATAGCTAGCAGCTAGAGGTTGTTCAATGTTGATTGTTGATCAACCAACCCTCCTACCAGGATGGTTCCACATCCTCCACCCTGCAAGGTTTATACGAATCAACGGTTCCCTTTTAGCTACAGCCAGTTCACCTGGTCGAACAATCGCTTGTATAGGTCGGCGGGTGGCAACTCACGAACATGTGAGTCAGTGGGCTCAATCATCCCAAGTAACAACATGAATCGACCACCCGGTTCAAAGCCTCCATTTTGACCCAGAAGAAAGCCCGTGACCATGTTTCGAATCCCCACTGGTCACCCTCCAGTGTCGTGACCAGTGGTGCCCGTGTCGTGACCATGGTCGTTCTTCGCACCTCGTGTGGGCTGGCTCTTCCCGGCATTCCACCCGAACCTCGCCGATCGAGACGCGAACTCCCCTACATTTGTTTGCATTAAGGAAGCGGGGGAAACACACAAATTCCTTAGAGAGGACTCCCCCCATGAAGTCATGGTGACCTTCTGATGACCCAAGTTTCGTGGTGATTGAGCGTACTCCATATTAAAATACTTGGCAATAAGCTCAGTCCGAGGTCTGAGATCCGGGGGTCCGAGATCCGAGGTCCCAGGTCCAAGACCCGAGATCCGAGGTTTGAGATCCAAGGTTATAAACTGACAGCGGGCATACCGCAACACTTGCGTTCAAAGTTCAACTTCTTACAGCCGGAGTTTAGTCAAACCTAGCTTGCCTGCACAGATCAGCCGCCTCGCCCCTGCTTTTCCATTCATGGATCAAAGGTGTGTGCTTCTGCAAAGACCTGCAGGTGTCAAGTCCATACCAAGCTGACAGGAGATGGCTGATTGTGTGTGTGGAAGCAAGGTTTGGTCTGGGCCCAACAGCAAATCCTGTTGCCAACTTTCCGTTTGCCGTGTGGCATGCGCAGTGAGGGTGAAGCGTGGAAAGTTCTGCCGCCAAAGACTGCGGGACACTTGCTTTTAGTTCGGCTTTGTTGGAGCCCCTCTCACACCGGAACCCTTGCCGGTACCAGTACGTCTTGAACCTCGGCACTGGGCACAGGTACAGCTTTGCTACCTGTTGTTGCCGTGCCCGGTCCTGGCGAGCAGCGAAAGAGGGAGATGTGTGTGAAAACACTTCAGTGCAGTCTTTCTCTCTTTTCTCTATAGAGGCTTGTTTGGTTGCCGCAGACTCATGGCACTGCAGGCCCGTAATATGTCCAACTGCGGATTGCGGCCACTTGAATGACCAATGGCCTAGGAAGCAGGCGGGACAGTGTTGTCCACACACGCAGCCCATAACTGTCCGCCGGCCAGGGAACAAGCTTTGTACCGATTGGTGGAAATGGTTGCAACAGGGACTGGTTTCTTTGTCCTCATTTCCGCTCCGCGATGGCATGAAGCTTTGGATTTGCATGGCTTGCGCAAGTGCGGCGTAGCGGTTGCTCAGCTTCGGCGGTGGAAAGTCTTTCGTCGCTAGGGGCAACTCTGGCCAATCCTGCTGCAAGGCTTTCCACGATGATAGGAATGGGGCTACAGAGCGCGGTCCACACCCAATCCTTGGCAAGTCGTGGGCACATTTCCAGACGATGTTTTCAGCTGCTTGGGTTGACAGGTCCTGCGCGTGCCACGCTCTGGCCAACCATTGCAAGACAGCGCCAGCTAACGGCACGGGAACCTCAGAACGGCACGCAGCGCCAAGTGTTGTGTCCGCTCTTTTGGCATGGCAGAGCGGCACGCTGTGCCAAGCACGCAGGTGTTAAAATATTGCAAGTTTAGCTGTTGGTCTTGTCCGTATAGTGCCAATACGAAGGGTACCACGGGGTTTTGGTATTTGCCCTCCCAGGTCTTTGGCCACCTGTTTCGCGGAAGAGATATCCATGTGGGCACCCCAGTGAAGAGGGCCTGGACATAAGCTTGAACAGCGTCCGCCTGTTGTTTGCCAAAACCTGGCTGACTACCGTAGGCGTCGAGAACCTTTGCGGCTTCCATTGACGCGGGACTTGAGCCCAGCTCGCCAAACAAGGCATGGTCAGAGTTTTGGTCCCTGACATTGTTGCCTTCGAAAACCGTTCTTCCTTTGAATTTTCTCAAAGGGTTCCACTCTTCAAGCTCACTGCCCTTCTCATAGCACGCTTCGAAGATGCGGCCGAGATGGACAGTCTCTCCCTTTCGGTTGGCCTCATTTACGACCTTCCGGCACTCCTGAACACGGACCTCGTCCCACGTGCCCTTGGCTCTCAGTCGCTCCCACTCAGCGTCCAACGCTGCCTTGGCCTTCGGGTTTCGAGCAACCTCATCGCGAGAAACGAGCCTGGCAACAGCACAGAAAAGCTCGAAGGCGACTTGAAACTCGATTTGCTTGATGCGCTGTGCGACGAGCTCCCGGAGAGGAAGACGATGCGGCTCAGGTTGATCAAGCACTTTCCGCGGCATTGCAGGTGCCCCAAACATCGTTTTCGGTGTAGGCACGGCTTCCCAGCTAGTGCTCAGGTCCGTAGCACAAGGGCTTCGGCTTGAACCGAGCTGGGAAGGAATCGCTGGACTAGTGGTCTTTGGACCTTTGCTGGAGGATGACTTTGCTTCGTCCATTTCTTGCGCGATCTTTTGGACCAAGCGTTTTCCAGTAATCCGATGGAATGTCCTTTGGACGTTTGCTGCCTTTGTACGTCTTTACCACACGAAGACCATCCCAATGGTAACCTTCAGGAATAGGGACCCCGGCTGGTGTAGTGTCAGGCTTGTAGTCCTCAGCCTTGTCTGCTGCAGTGACTTCGAGTTCGGGTTCCTCACCCCCCTGTTCGGGTACTCCTTCTGGTGCTTCGGATGGCGTGTACTCCGCAAGGTCAGCGTCCGCTAATGGAATCGGATTGGGAGATTCGATGAGATTGAGCTTTGGGTCATCAGGGATAGCTTCCTTTCGATCTTGTTTGACGCGCAACGGAAAGCTAAACCCACCTGGTAGGAGCTCGATTTTCTTTGTCCTCTGGATCGTCAAACTGTTGTGTTCAACATGATAATCTAGTGCTTCCAACTTGGCAACTAGATACTCCCCACGTCATTTGTGTCCCGGCTGCACATGGTAACCAAGAAACACACCTTCCACCGATGTGGGTGACAGCTTTCCTGCCGTATTGTCGGCTCGATTGGGGTTGTTCCAGAACAGGACTTTTGCACCGAATGGAATAGCCATACCTTCGAACATCTCTCCAAAACGTAATTCCCATGGGCTTGGAGATGAGTCCAGCTGGTCACTCGTGTTTGTTGCCATTGCAAAATGCTGGATGGCGAGTGGCCAGTACTGAAGAGGCATACCGGACTGAACAAGGTTGGTGCGTGCTCCCTCAAGCATATTTCTGACTTCCCTTTCAATGAAGCTCTTTGAGGAGTCCACATACTCAACGGAGGTTTGGTGACGATACCCTAACTCCTTGATACCAGCGATCAACTCACGGGAATTGTCGGTGTAAATGACCTCGACTGCATCATCCGGGGCAACAAAATGCTGAAGTGCAACCACTACCTCATCCGAACTTTTGGACTGAGCGGCCCGCCGCCAGTGAGGCCACGTTGGGATTGCTCGGTTTGGCCCTCCTCGACCCACGCCCCCCGGCGCTGAACCAAGCACCAGAGGGTGGCCCAACCCCTCCGTGGAGAGGTGTCGACAACTGTGCGACAAAGACTCTTCATTGATGGAAAGGGGAAGGAGCTGTGTCGAAAACCTATTGGAGGTCTCATTGGCTGCCATAGCTGTGGCCCACTTCAGACCTCGCCACTTCGGCCCCAACACGCCCATCTTGCTCTGCCTGATTTGCAGCTTGAACGCATCAAACCCGTTCCTACATGGCTGGTGACATGACTTGACCAACAGTCAGGCTTCTCGTCTTTCCAGATTCTGTTTTTCCCCGACACTGTGTGGGGTTTTTGGTTTTCGCTCTGCGCCCGCCGCTCCATGCCGCCTCGCGTCTGCCACTCCGCCGCCCGCCGCCGCCCACTTATATTGCACAACTGATCTTACACCGCTCATCTTACACAACTGGTCTTACACCGCTCATCTCACACAACTCATCTTACACAA